TAGTAGATGATCATACCAGATTTACATGGGTCTACTTGTTGCAAATGAAGAGTGATATTGTTACTGTACTAAGGTTGTTTCTCCCATTAATAAAGACTCAGTTTTCTACTGTTATTAAGGTGATTAATAGTGACAATGGAACAGAATTATTTAACAAAGTGTGTACAGATTTGTTTAATTCATATGGTATAATTCACCAATGCAGTTGTGTGTATACCCCTCAGCAAAATGGGGTAGCCGAGAGAAAACACAGGCACATTTTAGACATTGCTCGAGCATTGAAATTTCAAGCTCAAGTTCCAACTAGATACTGGGGAGAATATGTTGAGGGGGCTGTCTACCTGATCAGTAGGCTGCCTACTGAAGTTCTACAAGGCAAATCACCTTATGAATTATTGTATGGAAGGCCACCATCTCTTAATCATTTACGAGTGTTTGGATGCCTTTGCTATGCCACCACCATTGTCAGAAATGACAAGTTTAGCGTAAAGGCAATAGCAACAGTTTTCTTAGGATATTCCACTACTCAAAAGGGTGAAAACTCTTAGATCTCAGCAACAACAGGTTTTTTGTGAGCCGTGATGTTGTTTTCAAAGAACACATTTTTCCCTTTGCTAAGCCAACTGAAGCTCACTTGTTTGTTTCTGATTCTTGTCCTGTCTTCGATGTAGCCCCTGATAGGGGGAGATCTCTTGACACTCAGGTAGCTCATCAATAGAACAATCGACAAGCTCATGGGCATCAAGATGCAGATGCAGCAGCAGACACAGTAGATGCAAATTCACCTGCAGATGATGATACAGTTCCTAATAAAGCTGATATTGATTCTGTTGAACATGAACATCTTGACTATGTTGAGTTTGAAGAACTGCCTAGAATACCTGATAGTATACCAGCAACTGATAATGCTAGGGATGAAGTTCCTAATGTCAGCTCAACAGACACTAACTTAAGGAGGTCTGGTAGAACTACTAAAGCACCACTATGGCTTGAAGACTATGTTACAACAGGAAAACATAAGGACATTGCATATCCATTATCAATCTACATTTCTTACCACAAGTTGTTTGCACAAGGCAGGAAGTTAGTAGCAAACATCTCAGCAAACATAGAACCACAAACATTTCAGGAAGCTTCAAAGGATGAGAGATGGATAAAAGCTATGAAGCTGGAGACCAAAGCACTAGAAGATACTAACAGATGGGAGATACTTTATCTTCCCAAAGGCAAGAATGCAATTGGATCAAAATGGGTATACAAGGTAAAATACAAAGTTGATGGTGAAATTGAAAGGTTCAAAGAACGACTAGTTGCAAAAGGCTACAGTCAAAAGGAAGGATTAGACTATCATGAAATATTCTCACCAGTCATTAAATGGTGACAGTCAGGTCTGTCATTGCATTGGCAACATCAAGGATTTGGAACATTTTTCAAATGGATGTATATAATGCATTTCTACAGGGAGACTTGTTTGAGGAGGTTTATATGGAGCTTCCTCAAGGCTTCAGGAGATAGGGGAGACAAAGGTGTGCGAACTAGTGAAATCTTTGTATGGTTTGAAGGTTTGAAGCAAGCTTCAAGATAGTGGAACATAAAACTGTCAGAAGCTTTGGTTGATACAGGCTATTGTCAAAGCTTACATGACTATTCTATGTTTACTAAGAAAGAAAAAGGTGACATAGTGGTGGTGTTAGTATATGTAGATGACCTTTTGATCACAAAAAGCAGTGATAGCCCAATTCAACAGACCAAGAATGTATTGCATCAGAAGTTTAAGGTGAAAGATCTTGGAGAATTGAAGTTTTATCTAGGGATAGAAGTACTGAGATCACAAAGAGGAATCCTACTGAATCAAAGGAAATATGCATTGCAACTATATCAGACTTAGGACTGGGAGGAGCCAAGCCAGTCTCAACACCTTTGGACACAAATCAGAAGTTCACCTCAATAGAGCATGTCAAACATTTGGGTATTTCAGGGGATGAGCCATTAGAGGACGTGACAGCCTACCAAAGACTAATAGGGAGGTTATTGTACTTAATAATCACAAGGCCAGACATCAGTTTTGCAGTACAAACACTGAGTCAATTCATGCAAGCTCCAAAGAAATCACACTGGGATGCAGCATTAAGGATTGTGAAGTATGTAAAACTAGAACCAGGAATGGGCATAATGATTAATAGTAGAGCAGCAGACAGTCTTACTTGTTTCTGTGATGCAGATTGGACAGCATGTCCCAATACTAGGAGGGCAGTCACAGGATTTCATAGTTAAGTTTGGGACTCCCTGATATCTTGGAAGTCAAAGAAACAACAAACTGTGAGTCAAGGAGCTCAGCTGAAACAGAATATAGAAGTCTAGCTGCAGCAACTTCAGAAGTAGTTTGGCTCTTAGGGATATTTGCAGAATTAAGAGTGCAGATCAAGCAGCATATGGACATGTTTTTGGTAGCAAAGCAGCACTTCAAATTGCAGCAAATCTTATCTTTCATAAACAGACTAAGCACATAGAGATCGATTTCCACTTTCTAAGAGACAAGATCAAGGAAGGGAAGCTTAAAACACATTATGTGGGGACTAGAGATCAACAGGTAGACTTGCTGACAAAAGGGCTTGGGAGAGTTCACCATTCATACTTGTTAGGCATGCTGGGAGTGCTCAACATTTTACACCTTCCAGCTTGAGGGGGAGTATTAAGATTAGTAGATAGCCTAAAGTAGCTTAGTAACTAAATTGAGCAATTAAGTGGTTAGTTAGTTAGACTATTAGTGGGGTTGGTTGACAGCTGTATATGAGATGTCCAATTAGTTAGTCATTAGGCTTAATTATAAATAGAGTTGTACAGCAGTTAGTTGTTACCAATACAACAGTAACTTCTCTCTCAACTCACTCTCTGCACCTCCATGGATGAGCTAAGAAATAAAGCTCCACACAGTAAGAAAATCAACAATCGTTTATATAAATAGCATATTTTCATAATACTATCCGTCTACCCACAATATATCAATTTTATATTTCAATGACATTGAATATATCATGAACAAAGAAAATACGACATTCAACTACGTTAGATCGTTAGGTATATCCTATCCTAACCACAAAATCTTTTTCCGAGCCACGAGTTCAAAAACAAGCTTTCTTTAATGCTATTCTAATCTAAACATGTCTTTTCCAACTGTAGATAGATAGTGCGGTGAATCGGTAGCTACAATAATTTACAAGTGAAAACTAGAATTAAAGAAACAACCACGAGATGATAATTCGAATTAACAAAGATGTAATTAATAAATGTCAATATTCATGTCAACCACACCCCTAGAAACTAGAGTGCTTAGCCACTCATATTTGTAGTAACTATTATCCAAATATCTATGATTTTCCTCTCCAAAGTTGTTCATCCCTGTGCTTTTTCCTCCAAAAATCGTCTCACTCCTCACTAATCATGTTTAGAAAGTATTTATAGGCTAGGGTAGGAGTGTAAAAGTCCAAAATTGAGTAGGAAATATTTTAATTCACGAGTTGGGGGTACTGGGCACCTGACCTCACGATGCCAGGTCTAGGGCGCACCTAGAGCCTCGCGAGGTCAGGACTGGCGCGAGCTAATGGTGGCCTTAGGCCAGGCATCGCCTGACTTGGTTTTTTTGCGTTTTCGTGCCCTTTTCTTGTACCCTTTTGTGCAAGCTTCACTCGTCTTCATGTTCTAATGATCCTATACATAAGACAGTGTAATTAAGCTCAAACGTCACTCATATTAATATCAAAACACCTAAATGTAAGGTAGGCATTTTTTAGCCAAACATCAGAATGCCCTATCAATGTTAAGATTGTAATAGCCAGCAGTAGGCCGCGTCCATTTGTCCATTTAACATGAATGGTTTTCTGTGTTGTGGTTTTGGTGTGGTAAATTTGAATTCTAAAGCTCTCGTAGTTGCAAGGTGAGAGAAGAGAATATCAGAATTTCAATTACTTGGTATCATTGGTTTATTTATCCAAATCTTACACAAATTAAGCAAGAATTGACTCAATATATTCAGAAAGGGAAGTAGCCATAAAGTCAAGATTTGTACTATAGAATTGTGCCATTACCGGTAAACACAGGACTAGAATTTAATGCTCAAAACCAACTTGTTTCCACGTAAAGTTCTAAATTACCAGTAATGATTTACACCAGCAGGTCCACAACAATTCAAAATTGTCATTCGTTACTTCACTTTCTATTACGTACGATATTGACATCCCAACAACCCAAGCCTAACCTAATTATTACCCTAAAACAGTTCTCATCCTAATAAAACTTTCCTTTTAGTTTCTCTCATAAATTCAAATTAAAACAAACCACCATATTTTAAATTAGTTTAGATTTTAACTTCTAATTATATTTTAGTAATCATTAAGTTAAATAACTTTGTGACTCAATATACTCCTGGTGTTCAAAATAATTGTGTTTTATAGAATTTCACTCTTTATATGATATTTTTTTCTTATTGATTGAATTCAGATAGAGAGATAATATTCGTCAAAACTTTTACCCCAACAAGAGGATACTTTGGATTGTTTCTAGAAATCATCGGCTTTTTTTCAAATTAAAGCATTTAACTCTCCCTCCGATCTTATTTACTTGACATGTTTATCAAAAATTCTTATTTCTAAATACTTGTAATTTTAGAAAAATCAAGAAAAAATTAATCAAGTCTACCCTAGCATTAATAGTGTGAGCATTTATTGGAGAGATTAATATGATGAATATCAAAGAATAAATTAATAAAATAGTAACGTTTCTTAATTACATTTTCTTAAAAGGGTGCGTAAAAGACAACAAGTAATAAATAGGATAAGAGGGAGTACTAAATCCTATGTGCTTTGTTCTCAGCAATCCAACTTCATATGCATTTCTCCATATGAAGCTTTTTACTTATGTGCCACTATTCTAGAAACACTATAATATATTCAATCCTATCATAGTAGAGATTAAACCAGGAAAAACAACAAAGAGAAGACAAATAAAAAAAGCAAATTTTAGTAGCCCCTTAATCAGAATCATATATTAAAACATTATGTACAAATTACAATAGATATTCACCATATAACACTTCTTCAGAGCTATAGAAGAACGAATTCAAGTTCCCTCATCAAAATGGGGAAAATAACCCTCTCTGTATATTCCATTTTCAAATCTTGCTATATATTCGTAGTAGATATTTTTATTGAATCTGGTTCCACTTCGCTTCCCCAGATTGCCATAAAGGCCCCTAGAAAAATAAAAAGTACAAAATACTACCCATAACTTACGGTATCACCAATATTGACTTTCATATGCTATATTTCAATTTTCAACAAAGATTGTTGAGTCTCCAATCCAGTCTAACTTCATTGGACCCCACAAAATGATGACTTGGCTTGCTGAATGATACGACGTGGCTACTCACCATAAAGGCCGTGACCCGCTCCGAAACCCGAATATCCTCCATCTTCAGCTCTTGCAGTCTCTTCACATACTCCGGCACGTGCACCAGATCCCACACCACCCCTACACCCCCAGGCTTCAGCACCCTTACCACCTCCCCCAAAACTCTCATCCTCTCCGCCGCCGCTGCCGCCGTCTTCTGCCCGAACTCCTTCCCCACCGTGTGCACGAAGGCCGCCGACGCTACCACGTCGAAGTAGTTATCGCTGAACGGAAGCGTCCTCGGGTCACCCGCCCGGCACGTGACGTACTCCTGGACACCTTCAAGCCCTGCNCCCCAGGCTTCAGCACCCTCACCACCTCCCCCAAAACTCTCATCCTCTCCGCCGCCGCTGCCGCCGTCTTCTGACCGAACTCCTTCCCCACCTTGTGCACGAACGCCGCCGACGCCACCACGTCGAAGTAGTTGTCGCTGAAAGGAAGCGTCCTCGGATCCCCCGCCCGGCACGTGACGTACTCCTGGACACCTTCATGCCCTGCAGTTCGGAGAGTGGTGAGAGATCGGATCGGCGTTGGATGTAATCCAACG